GAGGGGCTTCAATGGGGGCAGCCTTGGCTCCAGGGATGTCAAAGCAGCCACGAGGAGCCACATCACGCCAAACATCCTCCTCAAGCTCTTCTGCTCCATGTGGAACCAGCCTGGCTCTCACCTCACCATCATTTCCCTGCCAGGGCCCAGCCCAGCACCCCCTGGTTGAGCTGAGGAGCCCCAGAAGGGCCAGGACCCCTCAGAACAACTTCTGGGTGATGAGCAGGGAACAGCTCCATTGCTGGGTCCAGAGCTTCAGCTGCATCCCTCGAGTCCTCTCAGGGAGACCTCTGAGAGAGGTTTAATTGTGAAATTCGTGATGGTAGAACAGCCCTAGTACACCCAAAATGGGGGATCCATGAGGCCACATTAACCCTTGTTCATCTGGTGTGGGTTTTCCATGGGTACACCCAAAATAGGCCAGATTAACCCTTTATTCATGGGGAAGGTGGTGTGAGCCTTCCATGGGTACACCACAAAATGGAGGTTAATGAGGCCAGATTAACCCTTTATTCCTGGAGAAGGTGGTGTGAGCCTTCCATGGGTACACCACAAAATGGAGGTTAATGAGGCCAGATTAACCCTTTATTCCTGGAGAAGGTGGTGTGAGCCTTCCATGGGTACACCACAAAATGGAGGTTAATGAGGCCAGATTAACCCTTTATTCCTGGAGAAGGTGGTGTGGGTTTTCCATGGGTACACCACAAAATGGAGGTTAATGAGGCCAGATTAACCCCTGTGCACCTGGGGAAGGTGGTGTGAGTGGCTGCTCAGCTGCTGGCAGGGCTAATGTGGAATTTTAGAGCTTTTGAGGACTCCCAAGCACAGAGGTGGGAGCCTCAGGGAGGTGTGGGCACAGGCAGACACTGCAGGCACAAAGAGAGGAGAGCAGAGGGGGTTTAGGGGGTGACAACCTCTGGGCATGAGGGCAGAATTGGGGAGAATTGGGGATGGGATTCACTGAAGACAGGGCCCTGAACTGCTGCCTCAGCTCAGGGAAACACAAAGCCAGAAGAGGAGAATGGTCTCCCTGCTCACCTTGGTGCAGGAACAGCCCAAGGGAACACAGGGAACTCGGCTCAGGAAACACAGACCCAGAACCCAGAACAGGGGAATGATCTCCCTGCCCAGCTTGGTGCAGGAACAGCCCCAGCCCTGCTGCATCACCCAAACCCGGGCACTGCTCTGCAAACCCACCTGGAATAACCAAACCCTCCAGGCCGCACCAGGGCAGGGCACAAACACCCAGCAGCACCCACAGAGAGGGGCTGAGAGTGGAATTTCCCCCTCATCTCCCCGTGCCAGGCTGGCACAGCACCCTGTGCCCTCTCCAGAGCCTCGGGGCCGCTGCACCTCCACCGATTCCCTCTAATTGTGTCCCTAATCACATCAAATTGCCCGAGCTCCATTTGTGCTCCTGCAGAGCAATTTGCTTTCCCCCAGGCCCTGCTGGCCGTGACTCTCCCTGCAGCCGCTCCTCAGGGCTGAGGGGGCTCTGGATCACATTATGGGCTCTAATAAAAATAATTCTAATGGAATTACACAACGAGGCCAGATTAAAGGCAGCTGCTTTGCAAATCCTGGGCTTGGGTTGGTGTTAGCTGAGGGAAGAAGCACATGGATCATCCCTCTGCCCCAGCTGAGGCAAAGGTAACATCTCCCTGACAAATAATAATACAATAAAGGTAGTCCCACAATAAATCCACCAGGGAATGCCAGCAAACAGAAATGCAAGGGGTTAAATGCAAAAGCCATGAAGCACTTTCCCCCTTTCCCATAAACTGCACCACAATGAGTTCCTCACACTCTGCTGCCTCAGGGATCCACCGAGTTTACAAAGGAACATTGGCACCATTTAATTGGGCGTATTTGTCTTTTTAGAGATTTTTCAGAGACTTCCTAAGGAATGAGGAACAGGAATGACCAGGTCAGAAGAGGGGACAGTCTCTAACCTGACACTCATCAGTGTCTGCTCTGCAGATGGGCAGGGAAGCCCAGAATGGATATTAAATAGTAGTGAAATCTCTCATTCCCATGAGAGATTTCCTTTAACCCCCAGAACTTGGCACTGACACCCCAGATTTTAATCACAGGGTTCTCAGATTTACGCCAACATTCTCTGCAGCCACAGAATCCCAGAATCATTTGGAAAAGCCCTCCCAGGCCATTGAGTCCAGGCTGTGCCCCATCCCCACCTTGTCCCCAGCCCTGAGTGTCACCTCCAGGGATGGGGATCCAACCCACCCTGGGCAGTTCCAGTGCCTGAGCCCCCTTTCCATGGGGAAATTCCTGCTGTGCCCACCCTGAGCCTGCCCTGAGCCCCCTTTCCATGGGGAAATTCCTGCTGTGCCCACCCTGAGCCTGCCCTGAGCCCCCTTTCCATGGGGAAATTCCTGCTGTGCCCACCCTGAGCCTGCCCTGAGCCTCCTTTCCATGGGGAAATTCCTGCTGATCCCCCCTGATCCAGCCTGACTCCTTTGGACCCCCAGGCAGTGAAGCCAGAGGGGCTCCTCAGTGAATGGCTCAGATCATTTCCATTTTGCCTGTGTGAACAAACCCACCCAGGGCACTCCTGCAGCCGGTGCTGGGGGATGCTCTCTCCTGCTCTCCCCTCAAGCAGCAGCTCTGCTTTCAAACACAAACACACACAGGGAGTGTCCCCACAGTGTCACTGTGGGATGTGCAGGGCGAGATGCTGCCTCCTCACACCCTCCTGGCTCTCCTTCCACCCCGTCCCACTGCTCCTGCAGCCAGCACAGCCTGTCCCCACAGAGAACACTGGGGTCCCCTCCTTGTCCTCCTCTTTGTCTGCAGGAGCAGAGGAGGGTGGAAAGCAGGACAGAGCTCCTCAAAGGAGAGCTGGGCAATCCCCAGCTCCTCCTCAGCCCCATTCCCACCACAGGCTCCTGCATCCTCCATCCCACATCCAGCTGCATCTCCCCTGAATTCACCTGGGAGCTCCTTCCACAGGTTCCAGGTATCTCCAGCCCCAGGGGCTCAGCCCGTTCTGGTTGGCACCTGTCCCTTGCTCTTTGTCCTGCCTCGGGCTTCCTGGAATACCTGGAAAAGGTGGAAAAATCGAGGCATGCCAGCTGGCTCCAGAGGATGGGCGTGAGGAGGAGGAGGGGGAGAGGAGGAAGCACCGCTGGCACTTGCAGGAGCACAGTTGGCACAGGGGAGCTGAATGCACAATTTGGAGGCTTCCTAGAAGGAGCCAAGAGGCTCAGCCAGGGCATTCTTACTTTTAAATCAGTGCTTACAAAGTCCTGGGCAAACTCAACCATGTCTGTCTGTCAGGTCAGAGCCTGCTGGAGGAAATAAACACACCTTGGTGTGGAAGGAGTTATTACCTAAGCAAACTCAGCCTGACTCATGTTTGTTTTCTAACGGCGTTATTGGGCAGCAGTGACAGAGCCAAGGTCAGGCTGAGAGGGAAGAGGCAGAGGGAAGATCTCAGAGGAGAGGAAGGTGCTGCTGCTCCCAGCCCATCACAGCAGTCCCCATTCCTGCTGGGAATGCTCCCATCCCTGTTTCCTGGGGCTCTCCCCCCAAGGAGTGGCACTGCACACCCGCGGCACATCCCTGGGTGCCTTCCCTGGAGAGTGACCTCAGCCAGGCCATCCTCACCCTCTGCTACACTGACAAAATCCAAATAATCCCCTAAAAACTTCACCCTGCCTTTGCCAATCAAAACCAGCCAACTGCAGCAACAGGGGGCAGAGAAAAGTCATCCTCCTTCAAGGAACACGGGCCAATATTCCCACTCAAAGGAAAGCATTTTGGGTTTAAGCAGAAATGAAGTCATAATGACATCGCACACCTCAAAGCACACTCCAGGCTCCGAAGCTGGCACACCAGGGCTTGGCTCCTTCCTCACTGCCCTCCAGCAGCACAAACTTGCAGCTGGGTCATGTTTTAATTACTCACCTTTCTATCGAGTTCCAGGGGCTGAAGTTTGTTTTGGGGCAGGGGAGATGCCCCAGGGCTGCAGGGAATGACCCTGCTCTGTCTGTCTGTCTGTCCCAATGGGAGCCACACACTGAACCTGAATCAGAGCACCCGGGCTGGGGCAGGACTCCTGCGAGCCTCCCTCACCCTGCAGTCATTCTGAGCGAGCTTCAGCAGCCCTGAAATGCTCCAACCTCAGTGACACGGGCTTGGAACAGACGCAGAGCTTGGGGAGCCCCAGGGCGAGCGGAGCCTTTGCACTCTGGACCCTGGCACAGCACAGAGCTGCCCAGCGCTGGAAAACACCTTCTTCACCACAGAATTGCACAACTGTTAAGGCTGGAAATCCCCTCCGAGATCCTCCACACGTTCTCCCAGCGCCGCCAGGGCCACCGCTGACCCTGTCCCCAAGCGCCACAACCTGCCCGTGCCCCGAACGCCTCATTCATCCTCGCTTCAGTGAACTTTCCCACTCGTGCAGTGTTGCAGCGTGTTGTGTGCAGAGCCCGCCGAGCCTCCCGTCCCCTCCCGGTGATTTGCCCCGTGCCAAGGCTCCGTGCCCACCCAGTCCCGTTCCTCAGTGCTGCCCATCCCGGGGCCCCGCTGGGCACCGGAGCCGCTCATCCCAGCGGAGCCGGCGGGCGCTGCTCGGTGCCACCTTCACCTGTGCGACCGCCACGGGACCAGCCTTCCTCCCCTCCTCTCCCTCCGAGCGCCCCGGGGCTCTGCCGCCAACCCGCGGGACACCGGGCACCGAAACCGGGGAATACGGGGCACCGAAATGGGGAGATACCGGGAGCAGCACACGGGGTGGGACACCGAGAACCGCGCACGGTGGATACCGGGCACCGAAACCGGGTAATGCCGGGCACCGCACATGGTGGACACTGGACACCGCACCCAGGGTGGGACACCGGGCACCGCACCCGCATCCCCCCACGCTGCCGAGGGGCGCTCCCCGGGCGATGCCGGCGAACATTTCCCCCCGGTTCGGGTTTCCCCCGTTCCCAGCGGAGCCCCGTCCTCCCGCCCCCCGGGCCGCTCCTGCTCACCGTGGCCGGGGCAGAGCCCCGCGGTGCCCGGCGCGGCTCCCCCGGTGCGGCCGCTCATGCTGGCGGGATGGGGCAGGGCGGCTGCCGGCGCTGCACGGTGCGGATGCGGCGCCTCCTGCCCGCCCAGGTGCGGATTCTGTCTGTCCTTCCCGCCCAGGTGCGGGTGCTGGGCTGCGCTCCTGCCCAGGTGCGGGAGCGGTCTGTCCTGCAGGGTATTCTGTCTGTCCTGCCGGGGATTCCGTCTGTCCTGCCGGCCCAGGTGCGGGAGCGGTCTGTCCTGCGGGGTATTCTGTCTGTCCTGCCCGGGATTCCGTCTGTCCTGCCGGGGATTCCGTCTGTCCAGGTGCGGGTGCGGGGCCGCGCTCCCGCCGAGGCTCCGCGGGCAGCGCCTCCCCCGGCCCCGCACGGAGCGCGGGGGTGCCCGCGCCGTCCCCGCCCCGCCCGGGGAAAGCCGGGGCCGCTCCTCCCCAGAGACCAACCCCGAGCACGCCCCGAGCTCGCCCCGGAGCCGTGCGGGCGCTGCGGGCAGCGCAGCTCTCCCTTTATCCAGCGAATTCTCGCCGATGCTTCTCCCTCCCTTTCACAGCGATTCGGGGATCGGTGGCTTGGTTTGGTTGCTTGTGTGCAGAAGGGAAGTGGAGCAAACCCATGTTACTATAACTTGCTCGATTGGAGCCGCTTTTTAAAGATCTGAGGGTTTTTGGCAAAGATCTTTCAATGGATTTCTCAAAACAAACACAAAATTGGCGGTAATTCCAAGCACGCTGCAAAGGCTTTTTCAGCTGCAGCATTAGTCCAGCTCCTCTGACATTATTGGAGCTTTGGCAGCTGAAATCTGGCCCTGAGAGCCTTAACAAAGCCCAGTCTTGGCAGAGCAGGACACCACAAGCAGCTCATCAGCTGAGCTTTTAAAATACCCCTTGAAATAAACCCAGCACAAACCCAGGACCCGAGCAGCTCCTTCCCCAGGTGTGCTCACCTTCACCTCTCACTTCTGGAGCTGCACTTTGGGGTCCGGGGCTTTCAAGCTGTACAGGGCTGGGATTTCTCAGAGATCTCTGGGTTCACAGGGAGATCCAGAGCACGCTCAGGGTCACAGGTGTAATTTGCTTTGGAGCATTTCCGTGCCCTTTAACCACAGCTGAGGTCCTTGCCCCTCCACAGGACATCTCCATCTCCACTTGTGTGTGGCTGCAGGAGAAACCAGAGCACCCACAGAAGTGCAATACCTGCTTCTTACTGTCAAAATAAATCCAAAAAGTAAATTTATATTAAACACATTATCAACTTGTTTGATAGGACTTGTGTTTTTAAGATCTGGGGGGTTTTGGCAAAGATTTTTCAATGGATTTCTCCAAAATTTGGTGGTGTTTTCAGGCAGAGCAGGCAAACAGCACCCAGTGTGCTGCATGTGTTTGTCCATCACTATAGAAACTGAGAGACAGAGAAAGAATAACATTAACAAAAGTAAACCCCATCCAATCCATGAAGAAACACTTTGTCACAGAATGGATTTTCTCAGGCTCAGAGGACCCAAACCAAAGTGAATGAAGCTGGTCTGGGTGGAGCTGTTAAAGAGTTCCTGAAGCAATTTTGGTTTGCCTGCATTTTCCTCTCCATGGTACTGATGTGAGCTTTCTGGACATTATTAGTATTTACTAACAGTAGACGCTAGTGGTAGCTACTCACTAGTGTAGCCTCCAGATTTAATGCTGAATTGATATAGAAATCCTTCATGGAGCAAACACTTGTAGTTCTTGCTGGCAAGATCTGAGTGCTCAGAGCAGCTCCTCACCTGCCTCCCAAGGTGCTCCCAGCCAGGATCTCCAGCAGCACCTCCCAAAGGGGGAAAATGGCACAAAAGTGAAAATTCAGAGTGTGGAGCCCTGAGCCAAGGCCGTGCCGAGTCTGCAGGAGGGGGAGGATGAGGTCGGGTGGGTTTCTGTGCTCTCTTTCCATGCTTGGGGAGGAATTGAGGGCCAGCAGTGCTCTGGGCAGGGTTAGAGCTCTCAGGGGAGGATTTGGAGCCTGGAGAAGGCAGAGCCCAAACCCCTTCACCCCTGGCTGCTCTGAACCTGGGCATGTTTGTTTTTTAGCACGTGCTGGCCCCAGTGCCGTCCCCATGGTCCATCCCAGCTCCTCTCCATGCAGCTTCCTCTCCAGGACTGGCAAAAGTCTATTCCACCTGCATGGGATGCCTAAAAAAAATGGAATTAAATTTTTAAAAGGGAAAATTGGAAAGTATCAGAGAGAGAGATATAAAGCACTGGAGTTTGGGGTTTTTTTCCTGTTTTTCCTCCCCTCCTCCTTTTCCTCCTGCTGTAACAATGATGAATCCCAAGATCTGGTGGAGAGGGAGAGTGGCTGAGTGATTCATCGGGACTGAATCACAGTCACTCTGCAGAGGAATTCGCTGCTGCTGCTGCAGCTCCATCCCTGCCCTGGGTCCCTCCCTGCTGCCCCTCCAGGGGCAGAGAGGGACAGGAACCCATGAAAACAGAGAGAGCAGCCCTGGGTGAGCCCCCTCCGAGCAGCCCTGCTCTCCTCTGCCCACGTGGGAGGGATTTTATCCAAAGGGAGCAGGAATACATTGATTTTCTGATTTTCTGAGGGTTTTACCCACGGCTGGATCACGCAGCCTCCCACTCCCCCGGGGAAGAACTTTCCTTCTGTTCCTTTTGAGATGCAAGCTTTCCCCTCCCTCTGAGATCCCCCCACTAATGCTGGGGTGCAGCAGCAGTTGGTACCCAGAGCTGGGCTGGGAAGTGGGGATGCAGCAGCTGAATTCCTGGGATTTCCCAGCGTTTGGATTTTCTGAGGGACATCACAGCAGAGGCAGGGGAAAAACTCTGCTCTGCAGCTGATTTGCAGCATCAGCTGGGTCGGTGCTGGTCCTTACACAGGATTTTGTCTCTCTGTTGTCACCACCTCCTCTGCTCACATCACCCACACCCAGAGCTCTGGGGACTGCCAGGAATTCACATTCCCAGGCTCCTGCTGAAAGGGCCCAGCCAGACCCAGGTGGGGACAGCTCAGAACTGAAAGGGTCAGGAAGGAGAAGGTCACCCTGGAGGTTCCCAAACTGACAGGGTTTTAAATAATCCAGCTCTGCCATCTGTGGTGGGAGCTCTCCCTGCCTGCAGAGCACTCTGATCCACTCCCCACAGTCATTTACAGCTCTACCTGCAGACACAAACATAAACCCCAGCTTAAGGCAGCTAAGTGTTAAATAGTTAAATGTTAGCTTTAAAGCAGAACTTTTGGGTCATTTTTACCAGTGTAACTATCACTGTTCACAACACAGGCATTGCTGGCTCACCTGTCACTGGAGAATTATTTTAAAAGACCCTCTCAGAGTCACCCTTGGAGAAATCTGTTACCTCAGGACCAAAGGTGGAACCAAAGCAAGGGCCAACCATGTCAGCATCACCTGGAGAGTCAGAGCTGGAGGCAAATCCCACATTTACAATCATGGGCTGGAAACCACTGAACAATCCCTCAGGAATGTGAGGATGAGACTCCCCCTGGGACAGCTCTGAGTCCTGGCCCATCTCAGTCTCTGTCTGTAAGCCACTCAAGTGTGACAGAACTTTCCATCATTTCAACTGGTTTTTCCCAAAATCCTATTTCTAATGAACAGTTTCCACTTGGTTCTCTGCTCCAGCAAGGAAGTTTTGGAAGAAAAATAAAAGAGAAGCAGAAATCCATCTCGTGCCATCCCCCCAGGGCTGAGGGTGGGTGGGTGTCTGTCCTCCTGCCCTGCAGAGCTCCTTCCCTTCCCTGGAAGCACAGGGATGGGCTCTGGGATGTGGAGCCCTCCTGGGCTGCTCATTTCCATGCAGATGAGGCTGTGTGTAATTCCATGTGAGTGTAATTCCCTGTGAATACAGATAACTGATGGGGCTGTGAATAAGAGAGCTGAGTGAATCATTCATCATGGATTATTGATAGGATTAATTTTACCTCTTTCTCTGCTCTCAGGATGCCCACGAGCCCCCCCCGAATTTATTTTCCCCCTCTTTAATGGAATATTTCTGGACACAAAGTAGATTAAAACCGAGTAATTTTCCTGCTCTTTGCTGGGCTGAATGAGATGTTTGCTGTCAGGTTAACCCTTGCAGACTCCCCCTGGAGTGTCTTCCCTGCTGGTATCACACCCCTTGGGGTCACACTGGGATTTTTAACATCAGCTCTGCTCCTGACAGGCCATCCCCAGTTCTGTGTGTGATGTTTCTGTGTCCCCTCACTGGTTTGATCCTGCCCCATCTCCAGACAGGACATCCCCAGTTCTGTGTGTGCTGTTTCTGTGTCCCCTCACTGGTTTGATCCTGCCCCATCTCCTGACAGGACATTCCCAGTTCTGTGTGTGCTGTTTCTGTGTCCCCTCACTGGTTTGATCCTGCCCCATCTCCTGACAGGACATTCCCAGTTCTGTGTGTGCTGTTTCTGTGTCCCCTCACTGGGTGTGATCCTGCCCCATCTCCTGACAGGACATCCCCAGTTCTGTGTGTGATGTTTCTGTGTCCCCTCACTGGTTTGATCCTGCCCCATCTCCTGACAGGACATCCCCAGTTCTGTGTGTGCTGTTTCTGTGTCCCCTCACTGGTTTGATCCTGCCCCATCTCCTGACAGGACATTCCCAGTTCTGTGTGTGCTGTTTCTGTGTCCCCTCACTGGGTGTGATCCTGCCCCATCTCCAGACAGGCCATCCCCAGTTCTGTGTGTGCTGTTTCTGTGTCCCCTCACTGCTGTGACGAGGTCCTGCCCTGTCTGATTGTGGCTCCCTCAGCCCCCAGCCGCACAGGGATGGTTTGGGGTGATTTTCCCCAGGATTGCTCCCGGGAGATGGCTGCAAACCCTGCCGGGGCCTGCTGCTGTTTCCATGGCAGCACGGAGCCAATTCCTCTTGGATTGAGCGCAAACCAAAATAAACCTGCAGGGAGATTTCCCCCTGCCCAGCCCTGCCCTTGGGGACCCTCTGCTCCCCCTTTGTCCCCTGAGCTCCCTGGGCTGCTGTCAGCAGTGCCTGCGCTGTTTGGGGCTTCTGTGAGATGCAAAACCAATTTCCCAAATCCTTTACCTGCTTGGTGAGGCAACATCGTTTCTGATTTCTGGTTATTAAACTCCTATCAAAAACAAAAGGAAAAAGAAGGAGAATTCTTTATTCAGAGCTGTTCAAAGAGATGAGAGGAGCCCGCAGTGGGTTTGCAAACCCTCCCTGCCAACCCCCAGAG